GACACACAACCCCCTACTGCCTCCATTGTTAGTAAAAGGCAATAACCAATAAACCAGATGTTTTTCCTTGCAACCGTCTCTCGCCTTTGTTACAATTCCTACTCAAGAACAACGAGTTAAATAAAACCTTAAGAGCTTAAGAATACTTTTTTCCAGATTAAAATACACATGAATACAAATAAAAATATTAGAATAATAACTTAAAACACATATTAATAATTGAAATTCGCGACATAACACTTGCGAATATTGTTAGAAAGGTTTTTTTTTTTAATGGTGGGAGTAGCTGTTTGTTGGTAAGTTCAATAATTAATAATTATTAAATAGCTTATCTTGAATTTTCATGGACTTATATTTACCTGGAAATACTTGAATTTGATACAGTAAAAAGACTCAAAGAATTGAATAAGCTTTTGACTTTATCAGCTGTTAGAATTGTTTACATGAGTTCCTTCTTTGTTAGCATCGAATACTAGTCGTTTGGTTTCATTTAATCTATTGCCACAAAGAAACGGCAAACTTAAAAAAAAAAAAAAATACATTGCGAATTGAACATCTAGCGCGAGGTTAGCGCCATCTATAGAAAAAGATAAAATAAGGCATAAAAATTTTTAAAACTGAACACTAGCCATTTTAGGATTTGGCTTCTACTAAAGCCAGAAGCTGTCGTCATTTTATTCTGAAGTCACACCGTTGCCTCGGATGAAGGGACAGACAATTTACATCCATGCCTTCTGCGGGATTCGAACAAGGCCCGTTGGTACGGTAGTCAGAGTGACTAACCACTTTACCACCTTCCCGTTTGAGCGACTTATTGGAAAGTAAAGCAGAAAATAGAGAAATTAAAATTTGGTCAAAGGATATGATGCTGTTCTTAAATTAGAAACTATAGGTCGAAAAAGAAAATCCAATTTTGTAGATTTTAGGGATAGCATAAAACCTAGTACAGTCAATAATAGGTGAAATAAGTGATTTTTTAAACTGAGTTGGGAGTATTTGAGAAGATTTAATAGCTTCCTTAACTTTCGTGAGGTAAGAAGTTGAAGGATCCTTAAGCATCGAACAATATGGGCCTTTAGTTTCATGACTCCATCAGTGTATGTTTGTTTATCCATAACAACGATCTATCCACCCTTATCAGCTATGGAAATAATACTGTTAGGGTTAGAATGAATTTCATGTAAGGCCTTCCTTTCCTTTTCGTTAAGATTCGAACAAACGATTTGCTATTAAAATTAAAGTTATGAGTAATTAAGAGGCAGACTGTATCTTTCTGTGTTTCTGAAATTTTAGAGAATGTGAAAACTTTTCCAATAGGAGCAATGTTTTCATGAACTGAAGATTTAGTTGCTTTTAAAAAGTTGAAGCTATATTTTAATATTTTCATCTGATCCTCTGATGATTTGTTAACGTTAGGGATATTAAAAATTCTATTAGTATTTACAGTGGGGCGATTAATAGGATGAGTGGAGCTAGGCGACTGAGGTGTGAGACTATAAGGTAATTTCTCTCTCCTTTCCGCATACATGAGGTAACTGAAAGCACGCTCAACCCGTATTCGTGAGGTCCGGAGTTCGAATCCTGGCTAGAGCATTGCTCATTTTTCACTTTCCTGCGTTGATAAAACCTAATGACTCTAAAACTGGCTCTCGGACTAAAATATGGTGCAATATAAGTCTTCACCACAAGGATTTGGCAAGTGGGCCCTTTAATCCCTAGTCGCCTTTTCAGAAGAGGAGTATATGAAGTATTTTCTCTCTCCTTGCGACGTGCCTTCGTAGTATAAATGGAAGCATGCTCGAGCGTATTCTTTAGGTCCGGAGTTTGAATTCTCGCGAAGCATTGTACATTTTTGATGTTCTTGCATCGATATAACCTAATGACTCTACAATCTTTTGGAAAAGTAGAAGCAAGAACTTTTTTATGACGTTGGCAAGCAATGTCGATTCTAGGTCAGGATTTATGATTAAAAGAGGAAAAATTTAAAGTAGATTTGGGGGTTTTGCGAATGAAAGTAATATAATTTGTATTGAGCTTTAGACACGCGTATTTCTAATAATGTGACAAAGGGACAATTTGAATTTATGCATAATTTTCGAAACGTGAAAAGAAGATTTGTGATTACATTTAACTTTATAAATTTAGGAATTATATATTAATGTATTTAAGCAAAAGGTGGAGACGGTTCAAGAATTTCATATACTTAAGCTGTAACGTACAAAATTGGCACTGACGTATCAAACTGAAGCAGAAAAAGGTGGTGAATACTAAAAGTATAAAATGGGAAGAGCGCGCGCACAACAGTTAAAATACGAAACTTCTTAATGATAATAAGAACCTTAGATAATATAGCGTTAAACGAAGAGAAGGTAAGCGTTAAAAAAAAAAAAAAAAAAAAGAAAAAAAAAAAAAAAAAAAAAAAAAAAAAACTAAAGAATGCAATACACAGAAAATAAAACAATAATACTGATGCATAAAAACACGCAACAGGAACTACGATAAAATGATCAAAGATTAAGAAAAAATAAAAAAAAGAAAAAAGAAAAAGAAACTCTCCAACTTCCAAAAATGAAAGAATCCAGCAACCCCGTGAAATGGCGAAACAAAAAGCAATACTCATGGGTATTTCTTTAACTACTTTATAGTACTTACGGTAGATTTACGGCTTATTTAGTTTCGTGAAGCTCTTATCAGTAACTTTGAAAAACTGCATCTTCTATACGTGCTAACTATAATATGTAAACAGTGAAACATCCCTAAGGCGACCACTCACAATTCAGCTGATCCTAGTATATGCGGATGTTAGAGATGTCACCTTGTAGAGACATTAGGTAATTTTTGGAAGCAGAAGAGATAAAAAATTAGCAACGCCTTCGCCGGGAATCGAACCACGGACCTCTGGAATACCGGCCTAGTGTTGCAGAACCACTACATCACGAAGGCATGCTAGGAAGGCGGGAGATATATCTTATATACTCCATCTTTTAAAGGGTGACTGGGGATTTTAGGGGATCCAATCGCCAAATCCTGGGTGAGGAGAATCATCATCCTACACCCTTTTAGTTCGGGCGCCACTGTAGAGACATTAGGTAATTTTTGGAAGCAGAGTGAAAAATTAGCAACGCCTTCCCCGGGAATCGAACCACGGACCTCTAGAATACCGGCCCAGTGTGCAGAACCACTACACCACGAAGGCACGCTAGGAAGGCGGGAGAAATACGTTATAACCTTAGGGAGTTGTTAAATTGATGTTACACAGATTTATTTTTGGGAAATATCAATCACTTTCAGAGGTGATCGTTCGCATGTAATGGTCACCATGAGAAGCTGAAATAATATTCTCTACATTTTATAAAAATAGGAGTTGTTGAATTGATTTTAAACACAGATTTATTTTTGCGAAACAGCAATCACGTTCAGAGGTGACAGTTCACATGAAACGATCACCATGACAAGCTGAAATAATATTCTCTATATTTTATAAAAATATTATTAAATTTAAAACGAGCTTTGGGAGGAACAACATGTGAAGTAAATAAACCGTATTAAATTATTTAATAAGATGATTAACAAATTAATGAAGTAAAACGTTTATGGATTATGTTAAATATGAGTTACGACACACGCTGTTTCAAGGATCCGGGAGGAGAAGTAAGGCAAGTATGTCTTTTCTTTCGAATGCTTGAATGCTTGTGAGAAACGCTAGTAAATATAATACAGTCTGCTTTAAATAACTTTTCTCTTCTTTTCCTTGTGTTTGCAGAACAAAAACAAAACAACAAAAAAAAAAAAAAAAAAAAAAAAAAATTGTTTTCCTAACGTTTTGGAACTTTCTTCGTACCTTTCTTTCAGCTACGTTATGAAGTATTCATAAATCTTAATACTAAACAAGTGCTGTCTTTTGCTTAACGTAAAAAAATTGTTTATATTCCATGAGACGGTAATCTGATATTCAAAGCGATTTAAGACTTTCAATTTAGCTTTCAAATTATAACTGTGGTGCTTAAAAAAAGTGCTAATTAAAACAATAGAAGCATTTCTTAACAAGTCTATGTTTTACATAAGGCAGCTTATAATAATATTCATGCATTAATGTAATTTATAATGTACTCCACTGATGACTTTATAGAGTTTGGCCTTGACTGGTAGCATAAACTTCGTAGTATCAAACTCCTAACAGACTTATTAGAGCTAATTATCGTCGCACCTTGAAGTAACAGCAGAGTCTTGAAAAGGTTTAAAACAAACGTTTTGTTAAAACAGAACGTGAACATAAACACACTTCTTGTGCTTGATAATATCAACCAGCATTTGTAGCGATGTAACTTAAAGTAATCGTCAAATTCAAATTTAAAACTAAGCCTAGTTGTTAAAGACTACACAATTAATTTTAAATTCCAAGTTGGCTCAGAACGTTTCACCAGCGTAGCAATTAATATGCGGACACAGTTACCTCCACAGTTACAGTTGTAAGTTTCTTGATTATGTTCGGAGTCGATAAAAACTAAAACCTAATTGCCAGTACTTAAGAGTTCATTGTCGGTATTATTTAACAACCTTGCTAATTATATCACCATTCTAATCCATTGACTAGAGCCGAGAGAATTGGACTCCATTCATAAAAGTCTCTGACTACTATTTTGCATGACGGATGTGCCGTTCTATTTTTATTCATGGATAGCGCTGCCAAATAAAACTTCATAAAAAGCATCATTATGTTTGAAAAATGAGGAAAAGACGAAATTTCTTCATCTGAAGGCTAATGTTAAGAAGAAATATGCAGCGTAGTATAAATATAAACCGTAAAAAGGTCGCCGAAAACTGCTTTTGCGTAATACCCAGTTACTCACATTTCGTCCATATATTCTTAGAATAGGGCCAAGTGCCAGCGAGAATGAATGTATCTTTGAAGGCAAAAAGTGCGAATTGCTTTTCAGTGACGAATTTAACTGTGAAGTCAGCTGTTACTGAGGCCTACCACCGCCCTATATATAGAAACCCACTTTCTTGAGGGTGTTCGCGGGATTTAGAGTTTAACAGGTGTTGCTTCTCAGTTCTTTGTGTTAAGGATGCACGCCTTTTCGGATTATCCATCGCCGTTTTCTCTCAGGCCTAGTTGTGATTATTTGTCGTCAAGAATTTTAACACCACCCGTGGTATGTGAATACATTTATGTTTCTCTTGACCGCTAGATTTTGACATGGAGGTGGAAAAATCAGTTTTTATTTCTATAACTTACTGCTTTTGAATACATATAAAAATTTTTTGCATATTTTGATGGGAGAAGACGTAATTCATTTTGTAATTCGATACATAAATAGGTAATCTATATAGCCCAAAATATAGGCACATATTTAGCATAAATATATGCCATAAATCCAATGAAGCTTATGTACAACTTTTTAATCTTTTTCTCATTCGCCATCAAGAAAGCAGTTCAATTCTATCGTCGAAATTTGTAGTGAGAGTAAAATTTTATCGATGTAGTTATCTTTACAATATAAAAACCTTTACTTTGTGTTAAAAGTGGAATCCTAAAATCAAGTAACGATTGAAAATTCATATAATTTTTAGAATTTAAAATAGCACAGCAATAAGTAAAATTGCGGAATCTTTTTATTTGTTTCTCACTCATTACTACATCTCTCTCTCTCTTTTGCTTCAAAATCGGCATTGTGTTTCCAAAATTAAATTCATTTAGCAAATATATTTTCAAATCAGATAAAAACAAAGCTTTTGAAGTAATCATGGCTTAGTATTTATTTGAATAAGAGATTTTTTTATAAATATTTTGTTTACAAACTAAACGTTTAGGTTTCTGTTTCAATATTTCATTTCTTTTATGACTCTTTTTATCTTGCCTAAAAGTATCTAAACTTTGATGTGCTACTCTGCAAAAAATAAGATTTAAGCATAGAAGTCAAATTTTTAGGTAAATTTTGAAAACAGAAATATTTATCCTTTTCCGAGCCTAAGCATTTGGTTTGTTTACAAGTATTTGTGAAATGACATAATGGTCACACGATTAATAAGCACAGTGTAGTAAAGCAGAAATCATATCATATTAACTGAGTACACTAATTTCTAAATGTTGCAAAATTATTTTTTACTTCATGTGTATTAAGGGCATGATAGATAAATCAATGATAATTAGTAATTTTGTTTTAGCATTTTCTTTGAGATTTTCGTACTGCACAGCGTTTTTATCATCTTCCCCATTCGTCTAAGTTACCCACATATTATCATATAACTTATCAACTTCCATTCATCTAATTATCTTCCCATTAAAATTCCAAATACAATTTAACTTCTTATAGAAAAATAAATTCTACGTTCTTAAAAAATATCATTGCATCAATAATGCATTTTCTGTCCTCTAATCATTATGCAAATAATGTCCAATCAAACTCATTATGTCTAGTCCTCATAATTCAGCAAAATAGTTGTTTATACGGAATACAGAATCAAAATTAAATTAAAGTTTCTGCATGTTTGCAAAGAGAAAATTTAATTTGGAGAGCTTCAAAATTCCTAATGTTAACATATTTATCACTAAAAAATTTGCATTAAAAAATTTACACCCTTTGGTGTCTTTAGCATATTTGCATACGGCTCCTCTCTATCGAACTACTCTAATCTCATGAAGAATCAAAATTTTGTTTAAATACTTCTGCTAAAAGACATTTTTCTTATCAGCATTTCCCCTTTAAGTTGATGAAAGAAATAACTTTCATAGCAGAACTCCCCTTCCTTATAATAAATTAAATTTCTTATACTCTTAGTAAAAGCTTTTAGAGCGACAAAACTGTAGTACTTTAAAAGCTTACTATACTTGATTCATTTTCTAAACTGAAACTTTCAGTTTTATGACCAACAGTTCAAGAAGTATTCCATTACTCAAATTTTTTGACGCATTCTATAAAATAATTTTTGCCGCCATTTTGATTGGATTATGATCTAACGATCAAGTTCTCTATGTCCTTTATAAAGTCAGTTTCTTTATGAATCGCAAGATAATACGAGAGAATATAAACAAAGCTTTTAAGCTTGAAATGTGATCGTCACAAACTTGCACATCTGACCTGATTACTTTGTATGGTAAAGGCTGTACAGCTGTACATTCTGCTTTCGAACATTTCAAACATGTAGCTGGGTTAGAGTAGGAGCCTTGTCTCTAATTATAACATTTATAAGTGCAACGCTATATCGGTCTCTGTTCTGGTCTGTCAGTTTTAACATATAGTTTTAAATGGAATAAATTCTTTTAACATTCGAAATGACCTTCTTTTCTTGTTATACGAGGAATTCCCATTACAAAAAGGAGAATACCGATTGTCTCACCCTTTACTACATATACTAGAGTATTTTCCCTCTTTTTACTTTCTTATATGAAATAAAGAAAGTATTGTAATCGCGAAAAATTTCGGGTATCATATTTCAACGAAAATATCCATTCCAGCTGCTCTCGAAACCATTTAAATGATTTTTTGACGTTACTTCTGTACGTACGGATAGAATAAAGGACTCGTTTTGCCAAAAATGATTGTAAAACGGATTTAAAATGGATTCAGTAGAGATTTGTTTTCTTGACGCCGGTGCGTACCTACTACGCATGTACGCATCTCGCATAATTCAAAAACGAGTAACAATAGATTGTTGAAATTCTGTGTATGGTACTGCTATAACATCTAATTGTGCACCTCCCTTTTCGTTGCAGTGCTCTGCACCAATCATATATCTATACATATACTCACTCTGTTACCTAGCTCGGTCAGCTTAGTGTTTTTATTCTTATATTTGGTGCTTTAAAAGTAATTGATTTATGTGGTTTTTATGCCTTTAATTAATATGCATCCAGCAGTTGTAGAATTGTCAACCATTGAAACGTTAAAATGGCGAGTTATGCCTAACGAACGGCCATTTGTTTACATTTGAAACTCAGTAGAATGGTGAATTAAGTCAGTTTCGGCACCTTCAACGTCTTTTTGCCGAGTGGGACCAAAAGTAAACTTTCAGTTTTGTGCACCGGAAAATCTGCTTTCTTGCACGCTGGCCGAATTTCTTGTTTTCCCGTAGAAACTCTAATTTTAAGTGTAAATTTTTAAAATTATTTTAACTGTATTTGGTGTTTTATATTTTTCTGTATTTTACAATTTTCGGTTCGTGATTTTGCCCTCTGTGGCGGTTCCTTAAATTGTCGCCTTTCTTGATGCGCAAGTAAAGACCTAAAAGTGCAGAAAGGACATCTAAGGAAATAAATTAAATGTTTATTTTTGAAATAAAATTATAACTCCAGCACTTTAAAATTCCATTTTGCTTGTTTTTCTTATTCTGTTTTGCTTTCTTGTTTAAAGTTCTATTTTGTTTGTTTGCGAACAACAACAACAGCAAAAAAAAAAAAAAAAAAAACAGATGACAAAATGGCGATGACATTGTAGAGATTTACTTCATTGCTTCAACTGTTGATCTGTAGAAAAATGTTTTGAACGTAAAATATTCAATTGCAAATCTTACTTAGTACTTAAATTATTTTTATTTTTAAAACTGTTCTCACAACTAGTAACATTTACAGCAATTATCAAGAAAACGTGCAGAGGCAAAACAAGATTTGAAATTTTGTTCTGTAGACTGCATTTTAGAATAATCTTCAGAAGTTCGAAATGACCGTCTTTCAAGTTTTTCATTTTCCTTAGCAATAACAGAAATGAAGATATAAAATATTTTTCTCTTAACAAGGAAATCTTTCCTCTTGGTGTAATAGTGATTTCATTTACTTTTAAATTAATTTTCTCCTTTAGACGTTCATAATTTAGTTGATATTCGCATTTTCGTTCATAAATTTTCGCTAAATAAGTGAGGTATGACAAGAGCATGCAGGTATTGAAATCTCTTAGGCATTCCTTTGAATACTTTACCTAATGTAAAAACAGTTTATCACTCACACTTTAACTGCCGCTAACATGCTGCCTTTTTTTAACTGCAGGTTAAAAAAAGGCAGCATGTTAGCGGCAGGTGTAATTAATTTATCACAGCATGGCAGAAAATCTTGAAAGAGAGGGAGAGAAAGAGCACCTCCCCACTACCATCGCGATGTATGAACTCACCCCGATGGAGCTTTTCCAGACACATGGATTGGACGAAGGGGTACCACTGAATACCCTGCGCGTTCTTCAGACCTCATACCCATGGACTTCTTCTTCTTCTTCTTCTTCTTTTTTTTTTAAAGATAAAGTTTATCGCACCAAACTAAGGACATCTGATGCATTGAAATTGTAAATTGAAATACAATGTCGCGATATTTCTAATGACCTGTTTCGTGACGTTTGCGAATCCCTTGGTGTGCATTATCAGCGTTGTCCGGACGATGATGGTTATCAATTTGAACATACACAAACATGATTCCTCAATTATATATGTCTTCTGTATTCAAAGCTATTCCATTTCACTCTACGTTCAGAAAATAAAGTTTTTCACGTCATTCAAAGTGTGAGTACATTTTTTTTGAGAGACCCCGTATTTGTATCATCTCCATTTAATTCCGTATGGGAGTTCAGAATTTTATTCTTTTTCACCTACCTTGATAATCATTGCAATTGCGTGATCTTCATACAATAACTCTTTATGTAAAAAATGCCGCTCCCAAAAATGTGCTGTCCGGGAGGACCGTAACCTTCTAAATTCGTTGCTGTGTCATGACGAAATGTGTTGGAAAACAGAACTGTGTTGACGCAGTATGTATTGTTGCGTTCTACGGGTTCGAGGATTTGGAGTAATTGATGACAACACTCGATGAAGAATCAAAACACAATTTATTCACCAATATTACATAGCGCAGCTCTAAAGACACGTTTACAGTCATCGAAACTATGATAAACACCCTAAAAAAATCAGCATCACAGCCTTCAGGCTATAATGGGGAAAACAACTTCACGGCAAAGCAGTAAAGTACAGCTCCCGACGCGGTCGATCGCTCTCAAGCTAATCTGTGAACTCAAGACACTACTTTCTATCCGTACAGGTAGGGTGTATATATCTTTAACCTACCGTAGACAATATTCTATCATTGCTCCAAAGTTATTTAATGTTTACATTAACGACTTTAATGTAAACATTAATAAACCTAATACATTAAACTCAAAGACTTTCAAATATGCAG